GCTGGTGTATATTAATATTACTTTTTAACCTTCACTTACTTTAGAAATAGTTTTGCTATTCTTATGGCTCTTTTTCTTTTAAAAAATGATTTTTTAAATTTCTATGTATGTGTAGCACATGTATGCACCAGGTGCCTGTGGAGGCCAGAAGAGAGCGTCAGGTCCCCAGGAGTTTGGATTGTAGTCAGTTGTGAATTGCTCTGTGTGGGTGCTCTGGAAGAACAATAACTCTTCGGTGTGCTGTGCCATCTCTCCAGCCCCATCCCATGCTTAGGATTCTGAGTTGCCTTTCCCCAGTGTCAGCTTATTGCATCCTGGTGAGGGAGGCGGGTGCTTTGCTATCCCCTGTATGGTTCTTAGGGCCTCATCTTTTGGTCATTTTGGTTGTTTACTCTTCTTGGTGTCTATGGAGCTTCCTGGCTATGGAAGTTAATTTCGTCTGATTGGGAAGCTTGTGTCAAATCTCCCCCTGCCCCGCCCGTCCTTGTCTCTGGCCCTGTTGGCAGGCTCGGGTTGCTGTGTTAGGATTTCCTTTATTCATCATTTTCCCTGTTTTTCTCATTGGATGGTTCTACCACTTTCTTCAGTTTACACTCTTTGGCTCTCCAGGGTCTGCCCACATCGTAACATGCCAGCACTGTAGCCAGTTATTTTGTTTGAGACAGGGCCTCTGTGATGAGCCACAGTGCAGTGATTCTCCTGCCTCTGCCTCCTGAGTGTTGAGACTGCAGGCATGTACCCAGCTATTAGGATGTACTTTAAAAATGTGTTTCTTTATTGAGATTCTCCCTTGGCTAATTCACTGTCCCACACTTTGTGTGTGTGTGTATATGAATGTTTTAGCCAGGCAGTGGTGGCACACGCCTTTAATCCCAGCACTTGGGAGGCAGAGGCAGGTGGATTTCTGAGTTCGAGGCCAGCCTGGTCTACAGAGTGAGTTCCAGGACAGCCAGGGCTGTACAGAGAAACCCTGTCTCGAAAAACCAAAAAAAAAAAAAAGAAAGAGAAAGAAAAAAAGAATGTTTTAGATGCATGTACACCATGTGTCCTTGGTGCCCATGGATATTAAGAAGAGGGCATCGGATTCCCTGGACATGGTTACAGATGGTTGTAAGCCACCATGTGGGTGCTAGGAATTGAGCCTGAGACCACTGTAAGAACAACCAGTGGTCTTAGCTACTAAGCTGCCTCTCCAGCCCCGCACACTTTAATTCATTTTTTTTCTTATTTATTATATGTAAGTACACTGTTGCTGTATTCAGACACCCTAAGAGGGCATCAGATCTCATTATGGGTGGTTGTGAGCCACCACGTGGTTGCTGGGATCCGAACTCATGACCTTCGGAAGAGTAGTCAGTGCTCTCAACTGCTGCGCCATCTCACCAGCCCACTTTAATTCTTAAAATGTGGTTTCCTTTCACTGATTCTCTGTGTATGTGTGTAACTATGGGTTGAACACAGCAGGGCCTTGGGTTAGACATCTGCTGTCAACAAGCCATTTCCAAGAACCTGGTCATATTTGTAATAGATCTGAGGTCTCTGGTAGGCCCAACATCTGCGCCCATACAGATTTCTTTTGACTTTTTCCTTTTGAGGATGAGTTTTTCTTTGAATGTATCACTGTTAGTTGAAAAAAAAGGGGGGGGCAGGCATTAATATTAGTAATTAGAGGTTCTCAATTTTCCCTTAGTTAAGTGGTTCTTTTATCATTATAATTATCATCACCATCATTATTAGTCATTATCATTATTTTTGGTTAAGACCAGCTCTTGTATAGTTCAGGCTGGCCTTGAATTTACTATGTAGCCCTGAACTCCTTATCTTCCTGTTCCTACTTCCCAGGCACTGCATTTCTTTCCTGGTACCTTGACTTAATCTATGGATTCTGTTTCCTGCTTGGCACACGTTACCACCCTCTTCCATTTTACAATAATTTTGAAGCTGAGCTCCCTAAGACCACTCTGTGGCTAGTGGCCAGCCAGCAATTTGGGCAGATATTCCCTGAGCCAGGTCCTCCTCTGTTGTCTGTCTGTCTGTCTGTTTCTATGAGGGTGCATATTCAGTTTGAAAGTCTGCCATGGCTTGTGGTTTGGAGGAGTCCTCTTGCATTTCGTCATGTGCTCAGCTATTCTAGGTGGATGTATGGAGCACAGCAAGGTCTCCTGTGGCTGTCTCATTTCCCATTCTGATGTCTGGCCAGGCTAGCTGGGCACTGGTCTTCCCTGCACGTTTACCAGTTACTACCGTTACCGCCAATGTCACTGGGTGTGGAATGTTATTTGGACTTCAGTTTCATCCAGGATCCCAGGTTAGAATGTTTTTAGGGCTGGGTGAAATCACTAGGATCTCTTCTTTCCTTTCTCTTACATCCTAGGGAAAGCAAGCTTACCCCAGAAGGCCCTTGAGCCCTTCTGTGAAGGTAGTCAGGCTCAGTGGCACCTTCTGCTGGATGGTGCAGGGCTCGGTGTCACTTCTGCTCGGCATTCATGTCTCCTCAAAGCCTAGAGGATCCCTGGACCCTGAGGAATAAATCTCCGACAGTGTCCTATGAGAAAGGCATTTCTGAGAGAGGATAGATCCCTAGTTTTCTAAGAAATGAACCAGTAGAGGATGTTAAGATGGCTCAGTGGGTAATAGTGCTTACCACATAGCTTAATGCCTTACGTTTGATTCCATGAACCCACCGTGTCTTCTCACCTCCACCCACACACTATGGCACCCTTGAGCCTTCACTCACACACAGCATAAGTAAAACAACTGCCCTGAGAACTTGCTAGTACCGCCCTGCAATGGAGTCATGATAGCTGGACTTCTTGGAAAGCTGTACAATCCACTGTTCAGGTGAGGCACTGGGAACGTTCCCAATGAGAATGAAGAGCCCAGCTTAAGACTCACCTGGTCCAGTTTTGAGGCAGGGTCTTGCTATGGTCTGAGGCTGGCCTGGGATTTGCTGTATTCTTCTTTCTCTGCCTCCAGATTGCTGGGATTAGAGGTGTGCACCACCCTGCCTAGTTCTATCTGCTCTCTGTGAAATGGCTAACCAAGAGCCAGGTAGTCTGGGCAGAATGCTGATAGCCTTTTCCTATCTCTCTTTTCTAACCTAACCCTAACCCTAACTTTAACCCTAACCCTTTTCCTATCAGCCTGACCTTTTGTGTGGTTTCAGTCTCTCCTCATCTCTAGCAATCTTCCTGCTTCCTCTAGAATAATCGAGTCATTCAGCCTCACTGACTAAGGTCTAGCCTACCCACTTTCAGTTCTCACCCAGTGGAGCCTGCTCTGGCTTCCCATCCTCCTGGGGTGGAGGTGCTCTTATTTTATTTTCTCACCACCTGCAGGGCACCTTCCTTTGGGAGACACAGCTTACTAGAGTACTGAGTTTATGATGCTGTACTAATACCAGTATTTTTAAATGCCTAATAGGGTTTCTAGCCATGACAAGGCAGCCAGTTATGTCCAAAATCAGACACAGTAGATACAAAGACAGCTTAGCTGTCTGAGCACATGCATTTTTGGAGTACAGAAAATAGCTGTCAGCCTAGTACTATTTTCAGTACTTGTGGAGGGTGACGCTGCTAACTCATGGACCACACATACACAAGGGAGGTGAGCTTGGACCCAGCTTTTGTGGCACCCAGCTTTTTTCTTTGTGCAGGCCCTGTTCTAAACCTTCCCACACACTGACCCCCATCCAGATATCAGAGGCATCTAAGAGCAGGAGCAGCTGGCTTCAGGTCTGACAGCTGCTTGTTTTGTCAGTCACTCTCCCAGTGGCCCTGAATAACAGCAGACACCAACACTTCCATTCTGACAAGAGGCTTCCGGTCTTAGTTGACTGTACTCATGCTCACTTGGGCTCCTGAGCTCTGCCTCCCCAGGGGGATCGCAGGCAGTGTGAGCCCATCTTGGAAGCCTAGGCCAGTGGTAGCTAAGCACAGGGTCTGCTGAAAGCCCATACCCTGGCCCTCAGCTGCAGACCAGGCTTCTGTGCTGACTCAGATTCCCTGTTCACAGATTCCCTGTCCCCGTGCAGCTGAGTAGAGAGGCAGTTATCACGGGGATTCTGTATCCCTCTACTTCTTGTTTTGAGATAGGCTCATATAGAGACCAGGGAGGCCTAGATCTCACAATCCTCAACCCCTTGAAAGCCAGATTATAAGCATGGTCCACAAAGCCCAGTTCAAGCCTCCCCTCTTGCTCTTCTTTCTAGAACACTGACTTAGGGTAGTTAATATCTTAATATATTATTCATAAAAAGTATCACCCCCAGCTTACAAACAAAACACTTCCCCCAAAACAAAACTGAGCCTAATAATCAGCCAAGACCCCCCACTTCCCTGCTTTGCTGCCTCCATACCTTGGAGGCACAGGGCTTGTTCTGAGGAACTGGGGGTAGAGGGAGTCAAGGACACACAGTCATGACTTTCCTGTCCCCTAGTGCTCGAAGTGCTCAGACTTTAAAACATAGAAGGCCTAAAAAATCCTCAAGGATGGGGTGGTCCCAGAACTCATAATGCTGAGGACAGTGGAAGTCCTGTATGCTGGCAGGGAGCAGTGTTCAGGGATTTTTGGGTGGCTTTTCTCTAGGCTGTGACTCTAGAACTGGTACCTACAAACAGGCTGAGTTCCTTCTTCCTGAGGTCTTTCTTGTCCCTACCCTAAACTGATTCTCTTTTGGGGGAGTGACTTATTAGGATTCCCACCTGGATCTTGGCAGTAAAAATTCTATAGTAGAACACTCCATGGGAAAACACCATTAGAGAATTTGTATTTAGCTGGAGGGATCTTGAATACTTGTAGTATCAGGTCACAGGGCAGGCAAGGCCAGCACTGGACAGCTCTCCTGTTCTTATCCCGTTCATTCTTAGCAATCGGGAGACAAAGGCTAGGTGGTACCGTAGAGCCAAGGAGGGGCTTGTCCCTTCTCTGGCCCGGCAGCTCTGTGGAAAGGGGACCAGATAATGCGTGGCTGGGCATGGACTGAAATGACAAACGGTGACTCTTCTACAAATGTGGAGGTTTATTTCAACAAAACATGAGAAGAGTGCACTGGACTGAGGCTCCTGCTCGTTGGTGTGTGTCCATCCATTTCTCACTGACACGAGTGAAGGCTGCGTTGTGAACAAGTGGACAGATAATATGGCAATTTCAGTCCAAGCAAGTCTGGGTCAATACATCCTCCTCCTCCTCCCTCTGTAACCTTGCCTCTGTGATGGGCTGTGGGGCCATCAGATTGCTCATGTGCTGTGTGTGGCTCTGACTTCTCCATATGAGGAGCCCCAGTCCTGGGATTGGGGCAGCAGGGAAAAGGGAGTATACAAGCACAACCCACTTCACCTCTGAAGAAACAGCAGGACAGGCCTCCAGGAAGGCAACTTTCAGACCGCTAGGGGTGTATGGGATTGGATGTGCTGTAGAGGCTGGAGCCAAGTCCCATCCTTACCACCAGGGAAGCAGAGAGCCAGGGGCCAGGGAGCTTCCTTCTGGACTGAGGATGCTTCCCCACCTGATCCAGCCCTGGCCCTTCTGTTCCTTCCACCAGGGCCTGTGGGGATGGGGCAACTTGCACCTATAGTCCTGGGATGCCCACTTGCAATGTGGCACCATTGAGAAGGTCCTCTGGAAATCTGCATGAGGTGCTCCTGAAGGGGAGGTCAGCTCTCTTCATGGAATCCAGGTTAAGGCTCAGACTGAAGTACTCACTCGAATGGTTTCTGTGGCAGGCATCTTTTTCCTTCTTGATCGTCAGCAACAGTTGTATTAAGTCATAAAGTAGAAACTGGATGTCACAGCAGCACTGATCATCTCCATTCTTGTTTTGGGAACACCAGCGCTGAACCATAAGCTGCTTTCTTGGGTAAATGGGTTGTTAAACTCTTCGGGCTACCCCTGAGGAGGCCATGTTGCTGGCCATGGAGGGCCCAGAAAGTCTGGAAACACCAGCACCGAGACTGAACTGTAAGGTATCTTAAGGGCAGGTGAATTCTTGTTCCCTGGAAGCTGCCTACATCAAGAAGGCCAGTTTCTGGTGCTGAAAGCACAAGTGTCATCAGGTGGGTGACCTGCTATACCTTCTGCCAGGAATAGGCATGGCCACACAGTGATAACCTGTCCCCAGAAGAGACTTCTCTTGTCCTGAATACTCTCCCCCCATCACCAAGAGGAAAGAAAGAGCCTCCTCCTCTTAGCTCACCACCTCAGGCTCCTGCACTGTCTGTCTCCATCCACCCATAGAGGCTAGGGCCCTTACACACAGGCCCTTAGCTCCTAGGTAGTCACTGTGTGACTACACAGTGATAAGAAAGGTGGTGGCAGGCTGACCATCTCCCCAGGAGTACTGAGAGCCACTGAGGTGGTTGAGAGTGACCAGGAACAATGACATGGTCTGGTTTTGAGCCTGCCTGTTAGATAATGGCGTTGCCATCATCTCTGTGTTCTCACGGACCTGCGACAGATTTTCTGCTCTGACATTTCTCATAGCTATCTTGCTGTGGTTAGATGGGGACCGATCTTCTCTAATGCCTGGTACGTGCTTGGCTGCACGTGGGTTAGTGATCGATGGGCTTGAGCCTCCTCTTTCCTCAGCCCCAGCCCTCCCCTGCTGCTTGTGGCTATGGCTCATGGGGCAGGGGCTGCAGACACCTGGACACTGTTCACACAACCCTATGCTGGGGCAGGCAGGACAGGAGGGCAGTCCTGCTTTAGTCTAGTAAGACCTCATGGTACAGGCATGTACCTTTCATTGCCTTCTCAGTCCTGTGTGTGGAAAGAGGACTGTCATCACAGCTGGGCTAATAAATACTGAATCGGGTATGTGTGCCTGGGCTTTGTGATCCTACAGCCCAGGATGTCATGCAGGGCCTGAAACACTCAAGGGGAAGCAAGTGCCACTCTGACTCCAGTCCCAGGCCTCCGGTGCCTTCTCATTACAATGGTTTCAGATGGGAGAGGCAGCCCTAGCTCTCTTCTCCGGAGACAGGGCAGGGATGGGTGGGAAGCTCCTCCTACGTAGAAGGGGAATCCATAGTGGAGAGGATCCTTACAACTTCTGCTCGCTGAGTGGGGGAGATGTGCTGGGTCATATGGACGATGGAATCCATGGCAACTTCTGGATTGGCCTGTACCAAGCTGGAGAGAAGATTAGGGATTGTGAAGAAAAGATAGGTAGGAGGGTCTTGACTGGTGTGCTTAAGAACTGCCAGACAGATACACTAACAAGGGCAGCTGTACATACCATATTCACCCTATCATGGACTTTCCTATGGTCAAATGTCCCCAGTAGCTAGAAAGTAGTATAAAATAAACTACAAAACATCTTTCTATGCTAGAAAATAAGGAGTAACTAAAAAATAAATTCCCAAAGAAAAATATGACAGGGACACACTGACAGTGGTGCCAGCACAAAGGGCACTTCCTAAACAGAATTATTTATTTTGTTTCTAAATGTCCCAGAAGTAAACTATAACAGAAGTAACTATAAGGTTAGTAGGAATGGCCTACATCAATAATATAGAAATGTATCCGGGAAGACGGGAGTTCTGGCTTCAGAGTTTGAGTTGAGTATAACTGTGGAAGGCAGAATCCAGATCAAGGAGCAGCTTGGCTAGGCAACAGAATTTTTACATCAGGTCAGATGATCTTTGGGTGCCTTTCAATGGGTGCTCTGTGATGGCCAGAATACTGCATGTATGATGATATGGCCATAATGTAGAACTTGAATCACAAAGAAACATCAGGTAACCTAAAATAAGAATGTTCTACAAACAAGACTGGAGGCTGGAGAGACGGCTTAGTGGTTAGAACACTGACTGCTCTTCCAGAAGTCCTGATATCAACTCCCAGTAACTATATGGTGGCTCATGACTGACTGTAATGGGATCTGATGCCCTCTTATGGTTTGTCTGACGACAGGTATGGTGTACTTATATACACACACATACATTAAATAAACAGAAGACCAGGGCACGGCAGTGCAGAGGACTCCCACATGCTCCAGCACTGAGCCAACAACACTCATGGGAAAACTCCATAAAAACTTTCAGTTAGCTTACTAAAGCCACCTAGGAGAATGTTCTGTCCTTAGATAGTCAGCACACAATGTCAATAAGGTAAGCATATAAACAACAGGAGAATTACTAGTACCAGCTTTTACTTTTGTGACTTTTTTTCTAAGTAATATATTTTCAAATAGTTTTATGGACATCTCTCCAGGAGATATCAGCTTTCCCTCCTTCTAGCATCATCTGCGTGGTTTGAATATCTGTACATGAGTAAGAGGGTCCTGAGTCAGCTGAGAGGAAGCTGTGTCTGTATCTGTGGGTCAACTACAACAGTTCCAGACAGGGGAACCACAGAGATTGGGGCAGCATTATCTCATAGTTTATTCTAAACTTTTTATTTTAAAGGAATCAGCCCCCTAGCTTCGAGGAGCCTCTTGGCCTCACCTGCGGATCTGCTTGAGGACATAGTCCCTGCTGATGTATTTGATGTTCTCCTCTATCACGGAGCGGACACCATCTTCCTCTGTCAGTTGCTTCTCCAGCCACTCCACCAGGTCTTTATTATTGTCCCAGACGTAAGCCTGCAAACACGCAAGTCTTGGTCAAATACCAGGGGTCAGGCCCAAACACCCTACTGTCTATTATCCCAAAAGCTTTCTTGGTGTAAAAACATTGTTCACAATTCTCCTTTTGTGTTTGGATGTGGAGAGGACAGGTTCCCAGTGGGGAGTTGCCTTCATCTGTCTTCCTTCCTTTGACCTTCAGATGCTCACATGGGAGTCTGTCCAGTGAGGCTCTGGCATCTACTCTTCTACAACAGTAGGCCTGTGTGGAGCAGGGTACTTGAGTGTGACTAGGAGGGAAAGGTGTATATGTGGCTGCTTCCTTTTGGAGGAGCAGAGACACTGATCCTCAAGGGCCATTTCTGTCCTAGCAAGTTGTGGCAGACAAGGCTTCACACTGTGCCTTGGCCCTCTAGCTGGGGAAGCCTGTGGTGCCTGGTAAAGACACATGGGAGCCAGGCTTAGAGGACAACACACAATACAACTTGGCTGCTGGTACGGGAAGTCTTGGTGCTGCAGTATTGCCACCCACTCTATTAGCTCTGAGAGTGCCGCAGAGGGTCAGGAGGTCTGTAGCCCTCAGAGTCTCACAGCCCACCTCTCGCCTCCTTTCTTTCAAGATCATTTAGCTGAGTCTCTGTGAGGCAGCTGACTACATCGTAACTCAGGAGTGTGTTAGAACCTAATAGCCTTCTCCTTGCTCTCTTCCCTCATTTCTTTACAAATCATTTAGGAATCGTTTTGTTAATGGTTTCCGGAAAACCAAGTACCACCATTAGGGCTCATTCATATTTATGTCATTTTGTTTGGGTAATTAACCACAGAGCTCGTCATTTAAAGGTGCGATACCCTTTTCTGTTATCACTAACGAAGTCAAAGTCAGAATGACAATGAGTTTGGCGCTGTAATTTAATAGGTGGGCACTGTAGGGACTGTGAGGCTTGTGTTGTGGCTTCAGGAAACCCAGATACAAGCAACACCACAAAAGCCACAGCTGCAGCCTCAGGGCTTATACAGTGTAGATGGAACATTCTAAGAAGAAGCATCTGGCATTAGGAAGGACACTGGATTGTCTTCTAACAGACACCATGCTTTAAAAACACTACTTATTGCTAGTGTGGTGGCTCACACTTCATCCCAGCACCTGTAAGGCTGAGGCAGGAGGATAGAGGGTTAAGGCCAGCCTGGGCTACACTGAGGCAAGGGTACAGGGTGAGGCCCTGTGGTTTCCTTCAGACTCATGTCCTCTCAACTTAGCTGCTGAGCTGGCTGTGCCTGGCTGTCTACTATGGCTGGATCACACGATCCTAGCCCTAAGGAGCAGTGAGCCTTTCCCAGCAGTCTGTCTACCTCTTCCTGGCTCAGATTTGCTCACTTTGGGCATATCCAGTGGAGATCAGCTCTCCTCACAAAACAAGCTGGGGACTCCTCTGTGTTTCACTCCAGAGTAACAGCTCTGTGGGTCTCCAACAGGGAAGCACCTTTGCTTCTACAGAAAACTGGGGCAGACCCTGGGTGCCTTGCTCCTACGGTCCAGCTTAGAGCTGGCCCCAGAAGAGTGAACATGCCTGGACTCTAGTCACTGCCACCTTTATAAACCTGGACATTTCCTTACCGGTGACCAAAAGTTCTCTGTGGCTTGAGGACTGCACATTCTCCCCAACTTAGGAGGATTTGGTGGAGAGAGGTGCACAAAATAAAACAACAGCAGCTTTACCTTCAGAAGGAAACCAAACAAAGCCCAACTAGATTCACTCAGGAGTCCTAATGCCTTTACTTTAGGAGAATATTTAATACTCTTATTAATCATTTTTAATCCGTTTGCTTTTAATTAAGAAACAGCATGATGCTTTGCTATCAACATATGCCAGGGAGCAGATTAATTGTGGCTTAAGATAACTCTCCTTGATTGGTGTAATGCATTAGCTAACGAGATGCCAGCTTCTAACGATGTTCATACACTACACTGGAGAAAGTCAGCTACCCTCTAGAGTAAACACTCTTGCTTCCCCTCCTGCAGCCACAAGCTACAGTAGGTGTTTCAGCAATTTATAACAGTTCCCAGGCAACTACAGCACCACATTCTAAGCTTTTAGATGCTTAAAAATATGGAGCCTGTGTATGAAACATGCTGTTTATTCAGAGCACAACTGGATGACATCACTAAGCACATGAAGACTATGAAGTACATGAAACTATGCTTTTAACAAAAAGAAACAAATTTGTGTTTTGTTTGAATCAGTCTGGGAGGGTTTACCATGCTCTCTGCTCTGAGCTATTCTGTTCCACTTAGGAAAAGCAAGCTGTCTTCTAGAACAGTTACACCATTACAGCCATGAGGAAGGACAAGTCACGTCTGTTCCAAGGGGGAAAGTCATTATCATATTCTTCCTTAGAATTATAAAAATGTAGCTATCTACTATGGATTTTAAACAAGTATGAAATGCTGGCTACTATCTCATGACAGTCGGGAACCCATCTGCCTGACATCCCAGCTAGAGCATCTTAATATCAATAAAATATCAATAATTAAACATCACAACACTTGCTTGTCTTACAATACACATTCAACAGAGACTCTTTCTGCATCAATGGATAAATATCTCAGGCACCGCTCAGCCCCACTAATTATATGTAATAATTAGTCTAGCTTACAAAATCTAAATGACCTGTTTGAAAAGGTTCATTTCTAATGCACTGGACAGCTGTTAAGCTCTCCCTAAGCAATGGTAGAACAGGGCCAGGGAGTGACTAGGGCACAACCTGGTAGCTGGGAACCTTGACTGTCACATCTACAAATGACTCCACTGTGTGGGTTGCTTAAGAGATGCTTCCAGCTGGAGAGATGCCTAGGAGCCATCTGACCTTGTGCGTATGGGGCTTGTGGGGTGATGAGGGAGATATATACACTCTAGAAAGATTGTTCTCAATATATCAATGTTTCCAAGGTTATGACCTTCCAACACCCAAGATGCAAGGTCATTTATTTCAGAGGCTTTGGAGAAAGAGCATGCAAGCAGTGGCTTGCTAGATTCCATGGCTGGGCCAGACAATTCCTGCCATGTTTGCCCTCACCTCATCCCTCTGTGGTACAATGAACTTATCTGTGGGTTGCTTGAGGCAACAGAGACCTATCAACACAAGATCTCATTCCATTTGGAAATCCAGAATAAGAGGAAGCAGGTAACGCTGGATAATTAGAATACATTAGGGCACTAAGCCCTGAGGACACTAGTGTGAGCCAAGCAATCCTTCTAGGATATGTCAGTGTGACCAAGTCTCATGCTTTAACACACACACACATACACACACACACACACACACACACACGCTCTCTCCTTACCCTCCCTTCTTCCCTCCCTCCTACTTTCTTTCTCTTCTTGAGACAGGGTCTCACCAAGTATTCCTAGCTAGCCTGAACTTATAGAAATCCCATTCCTGAGTTTTGGGATTAAAGGTATACCCCACCATGCCTGGCTGCTATTTAACTTCTAACATGCTTTGCCTTTGACACTAAATCCTGTGACACCATAAACATTATTTCCATTTTATACATAAAGGAATGGGGGTTCAAATAATGTGTTCAAGCAAATAAATGTAAAACTGGAAACCTCAGAGTTTGAGATCTCAAAACCCACTTTCCCCCCCAGTGTTCCATGGAAAGTCTTAACTGTGATTTCTCCTGTCAGAGTCTACAGGCACAGAACCAATCAGCCTGTTAGAAAACTGTATACAAATTGTAGAGCTAGAAATCAAGACACAAACCATGTTCATGAAGCAAGCATGTGCTATGTTTGCACACCTAACTCAGCCCAGAACTCGTGGAGCTGTTCCTTAGGGAGCTGTAGTTAGGATGCTGCTTCTGACCACAATGAGACCATGAACCACAAACCCAAGAACTTCCTCCAATAGGATTGCCCAGTGGACCCAAGCGGAATCCTGGAAATCATGGATGAAGGTCTCTAAAGGAACAGAAGCTTCATATCGCTCAAGAAAACAAAATCCCTGGGGGAAAAATACAAAGCATGGCTAATAAATGCCTATCACTTCATGACTTCTGCACCAGTCACTACAACAAAGACTCTACCAGTCAAAAAGACTGGCGCTCACACAGACTCTACCAGTTCTGTGCTTGAGAGAAACAGCACATGAAATCTGTCACTATTAGAAGACTGTGTGTGCCTACACACAGAGTGCTTCAGCCGTTTCCTAACATCAGGCAGTTTCTATGGTGGCCCTGCAGAGGTAACACTACACCTTGAACACTGCAGCCGTTCTCTCAAGGGCACTGCCGATTTTATCACCTATCCCACACTAACCAGGTCCTGCTGAGCCTGCAGAACGTGGCAGGAGGTTTCAAAGTCACTTGTCCTGACTTCACAGGCTCAGTTGTCCTTCCTTTCCCTCTTTCCTATCCCCTGGCAGAAGAGCTCACAGGGAATGCAATCTTCTGTAAACACAGGCAAAGGAAATAGTATCAACTATTGGGGATCACTGGTATTTAATGCGCAGACAGCCTCTTCCCGAGCTGTGTGCCTGCAGTGCCTTCTGCCCTCAATCCAGCCGGCAGCCTGTGCATACACAGCTCGCACTGATGAGAGATAGCAATGGCTGGTTTCTTTAGACACACTGCCCCCTGGGAGGATGCCACTAAGGAGCAAGCGAGGGACCTATCTATTCACTTCATGCTTGGAGGGAAGCTATTCCTTCTCCTCATCCTTGTGCCCACCGAGGCTGTGCACGTCCATTAGTGACTAATGTGGTAGGGAGGCGTGTGGGCCACACACACACACACACACTCCATTTACCTAGCTGGCCACTCTTAACTGGAGAACAGCCTCCTATTTTACACTTGCATGACTTTCAATGCCAACTTCCACTAGAAGCTGCCAGTAGCCACTGACAAAATTGTCTCACTCAATTATGATGCCAGAGACTGACCTTAACCTGAACCAAATGTCAGAGAATGTCCCACTCCCCTGCTGCACATTTGAAATATTTATCCAAGAAGCTTCCCAGTCATAAAGAAACAGGCAGACTTAACACAGAGGTGAATTTCAGAACACTCCACATCACTGGCTTTAAAACTGATGGTGAGTCTTACAGCTCCTTGATGAGAAAGGTCATTAGCAAAGACTCCAGGTAGCCTTTTTGAGGAAACTGGAGTGACCCGCTGTAGGACAAGGCCACCGGCCACTTTCCATCAATATCTGACAGTCTCCAAAGATTTTGATCACACAAGTAATAAATGACAAAGTATATCTGTCTAATAGCCTGATAAAATAGGACCAGCAAAATGCCTTAGCAGTTAAGGACACTTGCTGCCAAGGCTGAAGACCTGAGTTTGATCCTGGGAACCCACATGGTAAAAAAAAAAAAAAAAAGAATCAATTCCTTCAAGTTGTCCTCTAACTTTTACATGTAAACTGTGGAGTGCCTGTGTAGGCAGGAATACTGTCTTTCACTGCTAAGCCCCCAGGGTCTAGCATGTTGTAAGTGTTACAAATGGTTTGCTAAATGACTCTGTAGCTGCAGAGAGGCCTTTCTAGCTTTTCTAACAGGATCTGATAGCATAGCATTTGGCTGTGTGTAAACAGGAGAGGGTTTGGGTATTAGGTTCCTCTTTTACGCCCTGCCCCTGGAGGCCTGAAGATTCTTTGTGTACAACCCTTGTAACTCTCAGGTGTGCTATACAGGTTTGTTGGCAGATGCCTCACATACCTTCACTGTGCCTTCCACTTCTACAAACCAGCGTCTCAACATGGCCTGGATCTGGCCGTCGGTCAGCTCAGGGTTGGCATTGTGGATTTTCTTCTTGACCAGGTCCTCCAGCAGGAGGCGCCTCAGCCGCCAGTAGAAGAAGGTGCGGGATGTTTTCCAATCTAAGATATCCTAAATTCACAGGGAGCGAGAGCAGGGAGGAATTAGTGTAGTTACTGTAGCACTAGCACTCAAGCTGAAGGGACCCCACAGGCTTAAAAAGCTGCTCTCCAGGAAAACCCCTGGACACTCCAAAACCAGCCTGAACTCCCCACCCCTCCACTACCTCCCAACCAACCACAGAACACTGCACACTGCGGAATGCTACCCACAGTGGTTTTGAGGAAAGAACTAGAAAGGTAATAATCTGTTTTGTGCAGTCAGCTCAACTTTCATGAAGATCAAAGGTGAACTAGCTGTCACTATAACCTTGACCTTGTAGTAATCCAGTCTGAGGATTACCTGGACTGATGTCACTAATGAAGGCACACATGACTCAGTTTCCTACTAGAATCCTCAGAGCTGTGTCAGGATTCCAAGGAAACCTAAATCATTTTGACAGGGGACACAGGAAAGGGATGAAGGAACAGAACCGGAAATGTTTTGATCTGCATAAGCTGTGCTGCTCTGGCCCTCAAAGCTCCCTGCTTGTGCACCTGTGTCACTTAGAAGGCTCTGGCAAGTCAGAAATGGCAATTGTGTTACTTACGTTAATGACACCCTTCTCCTGCATCCGGCCTGGTGTGTCGTGCAAGTCAGCAAACTGAACAGCTACCTGGTGGTAAATGGGAATTAGGAACTCCTCTCGCTCCTTCAACTTGCTCTCCAGCTCCTTCCGCTCAGTGGGACTTAGCTCTGGGGTGCCTGCAATTACATAAAGCTGTCTGTCACACTCAGCAGTGACCAGAAATCTTGGCACAGATGCAGCCACCATCCTTCCCTCTAGGGCCCGGCTTTCTACTGTGGTCACTAAGTCTTTGATGCAGAACAGAATGTGAGATGGTAGTCCTGTCCTTACTTTGTCACAGGGAGCCCACCTGTCTTCTTTGTCCTATAGAGGTAACAAGTGTGAAAGTAGTGGTGGCAACTCTGCTCTCCAGGTCTCTTCTGAGCAGGTGAAGTGATCACCCAGAGGACTGGACCTCTCTAATCAGTGCAGTGCTCTAGAGCAAGGCTCCTCTATCCCTACAAGGCAAGACTGGTGCATGGACATCATGCCCATCATACTGACGAGCATTAGAGCAGCTGGACTAGGCCAAGTAAAGTGTTTTGTAGGAAAGCTTCCCCTGAGAGCAGAGCACAGACCAGCAGCTCTGGTTTTACCATGTCCTCAACAGGTGCCTGGGAAACTGCTAAGCACCAAATTGCAAGCTGCTGTACTCCATAGCCTCTACTGCCAGATTTAGATATGCTTAACCTCAGAGTAGTGTAAGTCAAGTCAAGTAAAGCAGTTACCATGGACTATTCCTTGGTTTCCCAATCCCTGACCAGGTGACAAAATTTCAGGTGGGGAAGAGAAGAGCAGCTGTGTGGATTGCTAAGTGCAGAACACACAGGACTTTATTTAGGCAGAGACTTTAGCTCCTTGAAGGAGGATGACCACTCCCTTAGCAGCCAGGTTTTAGTGGAGGTGTTGCTGTGTTTGTGATTCCCTCCCTAATTACTTTCAGAATGGGGTCTGTAATCAATACTGAAGATTTATCTGCCTGCCAGGAAAGGAAGAGGACGTCTAGCTGAAGAAACAATAGGTGACAGCCTGGTGCTGGGGACAATCTCATGTGTTGTGTCACCAGCACTGACAAATACATCAGCACAGATGATGGGTGCAGAAGACAAAGCTCTGTTCCAAGCATCAGCATGTCTGGGAACAGCCCTTGCTTTTCATGCCATTAAGAATCACATGCTTACTAACGGCCCTGGGCTGCTGCCAAGTGAGCCGGAAGTATCACAGAGAAGGGCAGAGATGGCACTCTAGCACCAAGCTTCATTTGATGGGACTTTCTGGATGCCAAGCTCCACCTGTTTTACAGCTGTGAGAAGCAGGTCCAGTCCCATGGGTCTTGGGTGCTCACACTGAGCACAATCACTGACCTTCTGCCTCAGGCCTCATTTAATCTTCACAACCACTAAGGCTGTATTTGTCTTAGCACCTTACAGGTAAGGACACTGAGAATGATTGTGACGTATCAAGGCCACAGAGCAAAGGAGTGACAGCCAGGACTTCTCTGAGGCGTTTGGACAGTATCACATTGCCGGTTTTACTTGGGAAGACGTGACCTCAATAGTAGTGGACCCTTTCATTTCAGAAGGCTAAGGCACAGTGGAAGAATACTGAATGAGGAGGCACAGTCATCTTAGTCTTACTGTGTAGCTAAGACCAGGACAGTGTCTATAGCTTCTTCTATTGTTTTAGTCAAGAATGTAAAAATACAGTTTGCTGGGGCCCAAAGGAACTCCAAAGTCTTCAAGATTCCTCTAGTAGATAGCCAACACTGTACTTGAATGTATATATGCATCTATATGGGCCATACATAATTTATTGAGCATTTACTTTGTGTCGGGCACTGCCCTTGAGATTCTCAGGACCATATATGTCATAAGTCAACACACACACACTCTCTCTCTCTCTGTCTCTGTCTCTCTCTTACTTCAGATATAGGGCCGTACAGCTGCTAATCTGCTGCCAAGATGAATCCTCAATGCTTCGAGTATTTTCTAGATTGCTTCATATATACTATCTCTGATTCTTATACGCACCTTTCCACATTAGAAACCAGAAAAAAGAGGCTCTGAAGTGTAAAGTGGTACCTGGCTGTTAAGCAATTCAGTCTGGCTTTTTACACTTGGGTCTGGCCACACCCAAAGCTTGTGCTTATTCTCAGTAATGGTCCTGAAAGTGGCTAAGCAGCTCTCCCAGCATAGCTGGTGAGTTGGTTCCTTGTGTTTGCAGAGGTAAGAGCAGCCTCAACGTTTGAATGCAGTAGAAGGAATGACAGGTGAGGAGAGCCTTCTGGAAGCAAGCTGATGGTTTTACCATGTTGGAGGAAAAGGGGAGGATGGGCCAACTGTGATAGTCTAGAATTTTGAAGGAATAATGAAATAATACGATGGCCCTCTTGTCTTCCCAGGAGTCAGAAAATGAAGCAGTATTCCCCAAAGCAGTATTCCACCTCAGAAGAGAAACAGGGAGAGGAGAGGTGCTGTCATGTCTTAAGCATGTAAGAAAGACCAGGGTTGGCGCTTTGTTTCGAGGGAAAGTGGTTCTAAATCCTTTATGTCCTAGGAGCAAAGACTGCTCTCAAGTGGGTGCCACCCTTGTGCCGTGTACTAAGGGCCCCACTCCCTGTACAGCAGAGCAGCCAGCTCCGGTAATGATCTAGGGGAGATTAACAAATATGTCAATGTCTATTTTCTGCTTAATTTAAAAGCGGCGTCTATAAAGATTTTTGACTTCTGAACCCTGTTCTCCTGAAAGAAAGAAGGTAAGAATGAGGAGGGATAAAGAGTGATTATCCTATCATTGATCGTTTCTCAGGAGCGTTTCTTATTCACTGGACTATTGTAAAAAGCTAAGCTCTCGATCAATCCTGTAAGCTCCCTGTACAATTAAATATCTTGGAATGGTTTTCTTTCTTTTCTAGCCAGATTGCAGGGCCTCAGGGTTTTCAGGAAAGTGTGTGTGTGTGTGTGTGTGTGTGTGTGTGTGTGTGTGTGTGTGTAAGAATATGCTCTACCAAGGAAAGCCATTCTTTAGAATCCTGCCTTAGAGAAAGGTAGGCTACGCCTCTCCCTTCACAAAAATCAAAAGTTCCCATGAAATTCTAAAAGCCAAACCTATGATTCAAGAATTAACATACAGAGTAAAACACAGATAAGCCATCATTAGCCTAATCAAGTGTCAGGAGCTGATATCACTAAGATGCCATGATGCTTTCCATTTCCTGAAAGGTCATGACCTTAAAGATGAGGAGGCTAAAAGACAACAAGTTATCTTGCCAAATGCTGCAGAACCAGGAAACCAGAGCTGGCACTGGTAGCCTATAGAGTCCAGCCATAGTCCTGGGTCTCTAACTGTTTAAAAATATTTGTTTTATGAGTATTAGTGTTTCATCTGTATGTATACACACACACACACACACACACATACACACACGACGGACGTGCCTGGTGCCTACAGAGGTCAGAGATGTCATTGGAGTCTCTGAACCAGAGTTACAGATGGTGTGAGCTATCACATGGGTTCTGGGAACCAAACTCTGGTCTTCTGGAATAGCAACAAGTGCGCTTAACTGCTGTGCTATCTCTCTGGCCACAAGTTCTGGGTCTTTAAGACAGCTTAAACTGATCTACAAGTATCCCAGTCCAGCAGCCTGTCTGGCTGAAGCCCCAACAAACAGTGCCACATGGAGTAGCTGGCTTCTGCAGCAGCTATTTAACACAGAAGATGGCAGAAGAGAGCCAGCCCTACCCCAGGTCAGGTACAACCCAGGGAGTAGGGTTTGGGGGACTAGTAGGGAGTAGGGTTTTAAAGCCTAGAACAATGACTGTCAGAAAGTGTACCCCTCATCCAAGCTTGGCTTCTCATTTATAATCCTAATCTGGGAAATGGGGATAAAGTTATATATATATAAAATAATACTAAAGTTTTAAAAACACTCTTAACTTGTCTTTTAAGAGGCCTATGTAAATCTAAACCTAACTTTAACTTTTATAGACTTCTTTCTCCTAAAAAAAGCAGTTTGCTTTGATTGGTTAAACATAACTTATAGAAGAGCTAAGAGCTTGAATTACCCACAAGTCTCCTGAATGCCACAGATATTAAACCTGTTACTGAAAAATCACAAAGATTGAACTCTTTTTCTGGTTCAAATGTAACACCAGAAGTAGCAGTTAGAAGAACTATGCAATCATGTTTTCTATATTTCTGTATTTCTATATATATAACGTGCTTTTTTTAAAAATGATTTTTTTTATGTGTATTGGTGTTTGGGTTACATGTATATCTGTTTGAGGGTGTTGGAGTCCTTAGAACAGAAATTACAGACAGTTGTGTGCTCCCATATGGGTGCTGGGAATTGAACCCAGGACCTCTGGAAGAACAGCCAATGCTCTTAACCACTGAGCCATCTCTCTAGACCTAACAGGCATGCTTTAAAAAAAAAAAAAAAAAAAAAAAAAAAGAAAGCCACAAAAGCATTCTTGAGAAACTGTAAATTAGATCCTGCTTTAAATGCCCCAAGGGAGCTATTTGGAAGGACCCCTGCAGTGAGTCCCGTGGTAAAGCACATAATCCTTTTGTAATGGGAATAATTTCTCCCAATGTATCTGTTTCTCTCCCCCAACTCCACAATCCTATCTTCATGTGTCTGCTTTTTTTTTTTTCCCCAAAAGGGGCCACACCTACTTAAACACAACTGCAATGCATATTGATTCTAAGCAGAATCTTCCCAAGGGATGCCTAACCCAGAAATTCCTTGCAATAGTGTGAAAAATACCTTATTTGTATTTTAAACAATCCTTACCGCACACTGAATAAAAGTGAATAGTTCTCCCTCCAGTCCTGCTCCCTGCCCTCACACAGACACATCCACATGAGAAAGTGAGGGAGCAACACAGAATTTCCTGAATTCTGGTAGAGAGATTCCTCTCTGGCCTTTGCTGTTTTCTCTCCCTAAATCTAACAGGTGAGGCAGGACACATGGATCTGGGCTAGTTAGGAACAAGAAGGGAAGAGGGCCTTGGATATATTCTGACATCAGCTTTCAGGTGGAGAGAAGCCTGGGTTTACTTGAACAAAATCCCTGCTAAGCCCTAATTGTAAATCACAGCTTTCTGGGAGGGAGCAAGGCTGGTGCATATATATGCATACATATATATTCACGAGCGCGCTCGCACACACACACACACACACACACACACACACACACACACACAAATGCCATGGTCTCACTAAATTACATCAAGCTAAATAGGCTGAGAATTCGAGTGAGGAGGTGTGTCTTTAGCTACTACCAACTATGTCTTCTCAGCTTCTTTATTACAAAGGACACTCTATGCATTACAGGTGAGACACCACTTTTAAGGCATAAATATTGGGATATCTCTCCTAGTCTTCAACTTCCTAGGCAGACACCACTTTCTGCTTCAGACAAGCAGCACTGACTTTTTTAGTTCGTAACAGCTTGAAGAGATAGGAAAACACACACTTTTGATAGTAACCCCCGAATCTCCATCACCCAAGATAATCCTTTTCCGGTCATTCTTGCTGATAAAGAGGTAGCTTTGGAGAAAGGCATCTGGAAGTTTTTACATGTATATCCTCAACTGTCACAAGACTCCAAATGCACCAGGTACTTGGCCTATTACGAATATTGGATCCTAGTTAGGCCTGAAGACCAGGCAAGGGCCAGCAAGGTACTGAACCTGTTGCCATCAGGGCAGTTTCATACGGGTAGAGCTACAGAGCTACATGGCAGGCTGCCCAGCTGTCTGATAGAGAACGAGGGTCCCCTCTGTGGCTCCTTTGCCAGGTGCCCACTGTACTGAGGCCGAGGGACACCTGGGTACTAATAACTGCTTTGTACTTGGGCTCAATAGTTCCTTCTCCATCTAAATTGATGTGACATTTCTCTCAGATCCATGGGAAGACCTCAGCTCACCACACAGGAGAGGCAGGGCTAGCCCAGCACTCCTCTCCCTACTGTTTTCCTGCTGTCTTCCGAGAGGCAGTACTAGGATGATATGAGCCCCAGAGAGGCATTGGAGGACCCGGACTCTGTTTCTAGAGAAGCAATTTGATTTCCTTAAGCCCCAAATGGTAGAATGTAATCCTCCCTTCAATGACTGCTGCATCTGAGAACACAGGGTCAGAACTGGCTCAGCGATGGAACGCTCTGCCATCTCAACTTACTATTAAGGGCAATTATTTCATTTCAAACAGAAACCAACATATACTGTCATTACTGTAGATCTGTAAGCCATCTCTTTCAAACTAGCCACAGAACATGGCAAACACTTATTTAAGAATGTAAGCTCCTGGTTTCAATTCTTAGTTCTTTCCCTTGATCTACCTATCACATACAGTTTGGAAGAGATGAAGTAAACCATTCAGAAATAGTTATTTATATCCTTAGCGAGTAAATTATAATTTTGTGCAGCCAATCAGTTTGCACAGGTCTGTCTAGGTACTCTGTAGCTGCTCCCCAGTACAGAGGCTGATTTGGAAGGAAGTCAGAAATACAAGATAATACTCACTCCTATAGGCTTTTGCCTAAATCAGATTTTCTCTGTGCAGCTGGTTTTAGCTCACAATGGGAAAGAATCCCTGTTTGATTTAGACCAGGCTCAGTGTTCAGCTTAGGGACTGAGAATTCTACTCTGTGCTCTCATGTACACTTACTGTTTGTCTCGGAAGCTTTGTTTAATCTTCATTCTTGCTTCAATTTTGCAATCTAGACAATGAGGTCATTTTTCACGTACTTTGTAAAAGGCATTTGGTAGTGTTTGGTTGTGGGCACTTTGAGAGAAGTCAGAGGACACTGCTCCTCTCCCCAGACTGTGTTTATATTATGCTGTAGCTCATCCAAGTCAAATTGCTGTGTCTTAACTATACTTGAGTAGTCTCTGAGAGACTTCAGATACCTGTAAGTGACGTACCTTACAGTTACTTCTAATCCACATCCACTCATGTTTCCTAGATCCTGGAGTCAGAGACTGGTTCAGGTTTAGCAGACCATGGACTCACCCATCCATCATTCATTCATCCTTTGAGACGGGTTTCTCTGGGTAGTCCTGGCTATCCTGGAACTTACTCTATAGATCAGGCTGCCCTTGAATTCGGGGATCTGCCTGCCTCTGCCTTTTGAGTGCTGTGTATAGATTCTTCTTTGAGTGCCATTATTTGGCCAAGGTTAAATAAATATGATTTTCCTCAGCATGAATAGGAAATTGATAATGAGATGATTCATAACAACTGATTAAGTGGCCATCACTTGGGGATCTCTCCCTTCCCACTGCACTTGTTCCTACAGTTAAAGGTGCTAGATGGAGCTGGGAGCGACACCACTCCTGCTGGAGAGAAGGAAGTGCTGGCCCCACACCCCTCAACACCCAGGCCTTCTGCAAACAGATGTGGACAGAATTCCTCCTCCTACCATCCTGTTACTCAGAAGGATGATAACAGCCATTGGGGGGTTAAAAAGAGGCAGTGAACCCCCAGTTAATGAGTAGGAATTCAGCAGGCAGTGCAAGATAAATGGGGCTCTTTTTGCTTCTGCTAGAGTCAGCATGAACTGCGGCCCTGCGGCTTGTTTGTGGCAAATGGAGTGCGCGAAATATCAAAGGCCAGTGATCCAGAAGAAGACCGACTTTGACAAATTTTAAATTGGCCAGAAAGAAAACCAGGAGAAAAAAAAAGGAAAAAAAAAAGAGGAAAAAAATAAATGAAAGAAAATTAGGCAATTGTTTGTGTCCTACAGTTGTGGCATTGCTGTCTTTGTACAGAATTATTGGTTAAAAACAGCAGCGACCATCACTGGATGCTGGAGCAATTATGAACCACCTAAGTGAGATGCTTATCAGCAGCTGCAGCTTTTAGAGCTTCCTGTGTACGGTTGTAAGTAACTTGCTCTTGGGCTGCAGTCACTTTAATTAAAGTGTATGGGGTTGGTCAGAGGTAATTATCCTGTTTGGAAAAGAAAGGAAAAATCACCTCAACAAATCCAGTGGCAGTAGATTTCAGAGCAACTCCTGCCAGCTTCCCTTTGTATATGCGATTTCCCCAGGAAGGGTTAGGCTGTGGCTGGGTTAGTTTTCGGTTGCTGTTAGCTGACAGCTAACAATGGGACACAAACATGGATTATTGTGGCTCCAGTCACCACTTTTGGCAAGCCACCTGGGCCAGACTTCACCTGCTCAGATTCCACACTATAGGTGCTCAGGCAAGCTTTTCTGATCCTACATGCTGAAGATAATAGGATCCAAAAAACAGTATTTTATTAAACTGTTCCTTAGAACATAAATGAGCTAGCATCTTTCTGTTCTTCCCATTCACCAGGTTGTAGTGCTTTTTAAACTTAACCTCCCTATTCCTTCAGAAAAACAAAACCACAACAAAACAAATCCTAAACAATCTTTACTGGCATAGCAAGTGGCTTGATGGGAGAGAACCACTCAGTGTTTTAAAAGAATCAGAGTTGTCACAGGGCTCGCGGAGTTTAGCCTTATGGTCTAATCACAAGTGCCTTCCAAGAGCTCTGAAACAGATGAGCAACAGGGCACTGCCTGGACACATGGCGTGCAAATGCGCCTAGGGTACGGCTGCTGCAGCCACTGTTTGGAGACATGCAGTGCACACTCTTTACTTCCATTTTCTGTAGTGTACTGACTGACCCCAGAACACTGTCTGGGCAGAATGTTTCAGCTTTTCTATAATGTGACACTAATTCACACACCCCTAGAAATGAGACAGGCTGTCTAAAGAGACAGCAGAAATAAAAAATATTTAAGCCACAGACATTCTCCACCTGATTAGCCTGCCTTCCAAAGCAACGTCTAGCTAATGATACTCCATGAGAACATCATCCCAGGAAATTTTCCTTTAAGGAAAATCACATGACTTTTCCTTTTCAGTGCCTACCTTCTATCCTATCACACTATTTCATTCTACCAGGGTTCTTACCATACAGAGGATGGTAAATAAAGATCATCGTGAATTTGATCACATGCTTCAGTGCCTCCTCCCCTGACCTACGAATGCACTCATTACAAATCAACTGAATGGCTCATTGATTTGCCAGGACAAGCAGACGTACCCAATCGCTCAGCCAAGCGGATGTAGACTGGGTCTACCCGACGCATGGTTTTCACCAGATCCTTTTTCCGGAATTTGATTTCTACTGTCCCTTCTGGTTCCAGAACGGATCCCCTGGATGCAAGAAAGAAAACAAAACAGTGAACTTTAGAGGAAAGAAGACACAGAATTAGGCCAGTTACAATTTGTGGAACAGGAAATAGGTTTATTACTGTTTTGGTCATGCGTGGTTCCCAGAAGTTACCCCTGGGAAAAAAGCAGGCACCTGAGATGTATCAAAGAGAGGTATAAGAGAGGCCTGGCATAAAACAATTAAAATAATTCTCATTACCACACCAGTAGATTCCATCTCAAAGAGAGAATACAGATTCCTTTGCTGACAGCTGACAAAGGTGACAGGCAGCACATTTTTGTTTTCCAGAAAAAAAAAAATCCCAAAAAGTAGGCGTCCCAACAGAGAAACCACCTCCAGTACTTGGGCTATACAAATGGGTGTGTATATAGGGTAGGGAGTAGTATTGGTAATGACTGTCCTGGACCACAGCTGTTAATGTACATCTGGAAGCATACACACTAGGCCAGGCTGAGAGGCATTAGATAGATATTTCTTAATGGACTTTAAAAAATTGTTTACGGCAGAGTTTCTGGTGTCAGAATATTGTTAACATTTACTGTAAGAAATTCCAAGGCCTTCACTTTGCTAATCTATAGCACTGGGCAGGATGCTTTTAGTTACCTCTCTGATCTGGTATCAGAAGATAGCTTAGGGCTAAAAAATAAGAGATTTAATGTAGAATGTTAGCTTAGAGATTCAAAAGTGAAACCACTACATTTTCCCAAGTAGCTCTTGGAGTAGAAGGGTACAATCTGGGGAGACAGAAGCAGATGCTACAATAAAATGATGGACAACGATGTTGATGCTTTCTCTTTTTGGCCATGGGATGGTAGGAGTGGGGTGGTTTACAAATATAGTTCTTTAGTCTTGCAGAATGTCAGAGTGAAGCCCTGGGCTCCAACAGAAGGGGGCAGCTTTGGTCTGGGGTCACAGAGTATGGGTGAGCTTATTAACAGGAGAGACAATCCCAGAAGAGCAAAGACCACTCCAAATATATCTACAAGTGGATTAAACTCCAGAACTTGGCTAGAGAAACAGCTCAGTGGTTAAGAATGCTTGCTGCTCTTCCAGAGAACCTGTATTTGATTCCCAGCATCCATAGGGGCTTACAATTGCCTAACTCCAGTTTCAGGGACCTGACACCCTCTTCTGACCTCTACAGATAGCCCCCACACACAGAATACACCCTCACAAACACATGCATCTAAATAAAAACAAATCTTAATAAGACACCCACACACCCACCCACACTCCCCCTTAAAAGTCCTGGTTACATTTAAGTCTTCCTTTAAGCTCCTTTTTGCCCCCCCCCCCAAAAGATTGTTAAGAGCCATATCCAAATAGAGAAAGGGAAGGGAAAATTTTTCCAAGTTGGAAGGGTCTGGAAGAGAGGACTGTGTAGTAAAATCATCTGGGATGGGGACTAGACAGAAAACCTGACTCTAGCCTGGTTTCCTTCTTGTGCCAGCAGACACTGTTTAGAAAGCCTATTCTTCTCATCTTGGAGTCTTTTAGGAACAGACAGATTAAAATGAAGTTGTCATGACTATAATGTTCTGGGGGCAGTGGCAGTGGTGGCAACAGCTAGAGAGTCCCTGAAGGCATAGAATGCAATAAAGAAGGAAGGCATGGTACCTGCTTTCTCGGTCAGCGTACATCTCCATGTGCCGAGGGTTGATGGTAGGGTCAATCACAACCCAAGAACCACCCCGAAGCTCAGCCTGGGGGGGAATGTAAACCATAACAGGCTGGGAACATTCCCGCAAGCCATCCACAATGTAAGCGCCAAACTTGAGCACTTGGTCATACATATCTATGGAGAATGAAATAAATTAGAAACAAACTTCTCAAAGCAGAGCTTTCATGTTATAGGACATGCAGAAAACAGAATTTTTGTCTCCATGAGGAGGTTGCTCATGGGAGAAGTGACAGGTCTTAGGGTTCCAGCCACCACAGGTCCTGTGGCCATCCCACAGGCCACAGTGACTGATGCCTCCACTTGTACCCCACTCATGATTTCAGGGGAGCTTCAAAAGCACAAGACAGAAATGCAATCTTTCACAAGACACAGTATGCAAAGCCCACGATTAAATATCCATTTTATGTCCTCCCTGCGTCTCAGTATTCAGGTTTCACCACATTAATTCATACTTGCTCTACAAACGTTAAGTATTTTTCATGTCAATATGTGATCTCTCTCACTACATTAAGTTTTCTGAAGGAAGAAACTATTCCAGCTTCTTTCAATTCCTTTCACGATTCTTAGCATACAATGAGTTCTTAAAATATGTAGGTAATGGCAATGGGTCTTGAAAAAAGATTTCTTCCTTAAAAACTGGAGCCAGGAGTGGTAGGACACACCTATAATCCATAATTCCTTGTATTTGGGAGGCTGAGGCAGGAGAATGGGAGAATGGTGGTGAGTTGTGAAGCTAGCCTGGACCACAGGGTGAGTTCTAGATCAATCTGAGCAACTTAGTGAGACCTTACTTCAAAATAAGATGGAAACTGTGGACTTTTCATCCCTGTACAATTGAAACACTCAGTGCTTAAGGTCAGCAGGTAATGAGTGAATAAGCATACATACTTTTGAAAGAATATAAGAAAAAGTATAATTGTATTTTTATAAGATATTAGTAAGAGAAATTATATATGTACACTTATATATAAAATCTCACACAGCTACATTCTTTTCATCCTGTCAGTCCTCCAAAAACCAGGAGTGGCCATGCAGACAATGACCCTTGGTGCACAGATGAGAGAGTCCTGGGATTAGTCATCCGTTTCCCAATGTTTTATGTGCTGCTTCCCACTTCCCAGCTCTGTAAGGTTTGAACATTGCCAGTGTTAGGGTTCTGAGTCCAGACATTTAGTGAGCACTTCACTGCATCCACAAAGGCACCTTCCCCAACAACAAATAACAGGTTCAACTGGGTTCAAAGGCTCCTATCCAGAGAGGATCTCAATTTGGAATAAATCAATTCTGGAAATCCAAGGCAAAGAAGCATTTTTCAGGAAGTTAAGAACAAACCAAATAGAAACTGCCTTCATTATAGTTACGGGCAAATTAACCTGCATGGTCTCCAGAGTAAATACGGCTCTATATTCAGAGCATCAGTGAGCATGGTTCACTGTGAGGCACCTGCCTGTGACCACTGCTCTAATCTGGCTTATCTGTAAGGACTTCAGAAATTCCAAGTTGCCCCAGGATACATTTCCTATTCTATGTGGAATGTGTATGGTCATATACTCTGTATATATGATCAGAGTGAAGACATTTATTTCTTTGGGTGGAAAGCAAAGACCAAAAAAAAATTTACTGCTAATTGCACAACTGCTGTATGAAGAGCAGGAATAAAGGACTTTAAGCGCTTTACGCTAATTCTGTGCTTATGAAAATAATTGCTCAGTTCAAATTATTTTAACTAAATTAATTCTTTAGTGGGTATTTCAACTAGTGCTACATAATAAAATAATTGTGTAATTAGCGGTACATTTTTCAGTACTGCCAAGAGTACAGTTTCAGAACAAGTAGCAGGAAGAAGTGGCCCTCTTGGTATGTGCACAGAGGAAAAACCGAAGAGTAGATAAAAGATGAAAATAAAGCAAAAGATAGAACAAAAGTCATATGAATTAAAAGCAAATGAAGTTACAGGTAAATAAAGTCAAGGTTTACAGCCATTCTTCTCATTTTCATTTGTTAGTGTATTTCTATCAAAATCTATCCCTGTACTGTCCATCTGGTTGACAGCTAATTTTCCAAAGGGCAAGACTTTTCTTATATTTTCATTCACTTAATAAAAAACCAGCTGGTCATGGTGGCATACATCTTTAATTCCAGCACTCTTGAGGTAGACCAGGCAGATCTCTGTGAGTACCAGGACAGCCTGGTCTACAAAGTGAGCTCCAGAACAGCCAGGGCTACACAAAAAAACACTATCTTTGAAACAAAACAAAACACAGCTTACCTTCACACTATATGGAAAACTAAGTGAAAAATTTTCATTTTAGTGAAAAGGACTTTGGTCCTTCCTTTTCATCATTGGGTAGATTACTGCACACACAGCAGGACTCATGACTGCCAGTACACACACACACACACACAGACACAGACACAGACACACACACACACACACACACACACACACACACTTGTGTGCCCAGGTAAAAATGTATATTAATAATCAATCAGAATATCTTTTTCTTATATTCATGTTACAGTTAAGCAATAGGAAGTATAGTTAAGTAAGAGTAAATTGCAGAAATGATATTCAAATAAAGGTTTTCTTCTGAGATAGGGTTTCACTATGTAGCCTGGGTTGAACTTACAGTCCTCTTGTCTGCCTTCTGATTGCTGAGATTACAAGCATGCATTAGCATGCCCAGCTTCAAACTTATGACTTTAAGTTATCATTTAACTACCTTACTTGACTCATCCTTAACTGTTTGGAAAGACTGTGAGGCTTGAAAGGAATCTCTAACATCTAATGGCTGACTACACTAAAACCAGAAGAGACATGAGTGATTGAACCTATCTAAATGTGGCTTGGATTTCCTTTATGTTCAGAGATGTCAGGAACTGTATTGATGGCACTGGCAGTTATGTGAGGGGCTTGGATCTGGCTGCCAAACAAATATCTTCAAGCTCTAAATCTGACAAAGGAAAGGGACTTTAGGCTTCTGTAAAGCTGCCATGCTTGGAGCTAAAATAACACTTCTATCTCCCCTGGAACACCAACAGACCTATAATGTAACTGTCAAAGCACCCTCAAACAGGCTATTCAAATATAAACATGTAGCAAATTCTACAATTAATATGCTAATACTGAATCACAAGTTTCCCCAAATCAAGTATTTTGAAACAATGATCTGACATACAAATGTCTGAAACCATTCCCCATTTTAGGAAATAAAGACAGCTAAGAACATATGAGGAGGATCTCCAAGGATTTATGGTAGAGTCAGTTCAGGAAAATTAAAAGCCACACATTTGCTTGTCATTCTGGTGCCTGAGAAATGCAACTGGACTGGAAACAGAAATATTGATCTGTTCTTCAGTGGAGAGGAAGGAGCTTTCTAGCATCCTGGGAAAGTACATCTGCATGAATGGTGATTACACCCAGCACCCAGGTATCCGCTCTGCCTGGGGCCTTTATTGTTATGCAACATGGATAAGCTGAGGCAACCGAGTGTACCAACAAGGGGATAGGGTGTGTCCCACACTAGCACACTGGAACAGATCTTATTGGCTTAGGCAAGATTATGTTAGGCACCGAGGTAAACATGAGGCATACACAAGCTGTCTACATGTAATATCTCTCATGAGTTCATTACGGGCGGTGGACATTGTATTTCAACATCCAAGTAATCAGAGACTTTAAAATAGACTCTCATTCCAGTTAAAGTTTTCAATAAATGTGGTTTTTTATTGTTATTTATAACCTGTCCTAGGAAAAAATAATAAGTATAACATGAAAAGCCAACTGAGAGTGACCCTGTAGCACCAGCAGTGAGGCGGCTTAATATCACTGGGATTTGCATCCTATCAAGCTATTCATGCTGAGGCTGGGACCCTGGTGCTAATTTCTAGTAAATTTCACGCTTGATGTCTCCCTGTTGTGGGTCATTGCCGGTTCGTCTAAATAAACTGCTTCCAAATGGCTCTTCCATCTAAATATTCAGCCAGTTTTTATAATTTAATTTTGCATTATGCTGAATAGCCTTCCGGCCAGATAGAGCTCATTGGAAAAAAGCACCAATACCATCTTGACAAGCTTTTATTTATTTATTTATATTTTTTACTGCTCGAATTAGACCTCCTAGGCCGACTAGTAAAGAGTTTTTTTTCTCCCTCCACTAATGTCAATTTTCAGCATAGCAAGAGCTGTCTCTAATCTTTTCCTACTCATTACACACAATTTTGGAGTCATTTTACCCACAGTGCAGTCGGCTCCTGGCTGTGTGTTTGTGTGCACTGAGGGATGGCATAATTGTTTATTTTCCCTCCCTGCATAATCCCCAGCCAGTATTGAAACCAAAACTGCAAACATCTCCCCAAGGGATGTGGAGAATGACAAGAAGCTCTCAGTTTAGGTCCTCTTCCATGAGATAATATGTGGGAAGCATCCTGACCTGTATGTACACATGAGAGTGTTCTCCCCTCCTGTGCTCACACAGACCTCTATCTTGCCTAAAGCCTCTGTGTCTCGTGTGTGATATGTAAATGAATGGCATCACACCTAAGCTGAGAAGAAAGAACTTTGCTCTGGACTATGTTAGGCCAATAATTCATTTCACAACCAGGGATAGGGATTATTTAGTGAGCAAAGATTAAGTTGAATGATAAAGTTTGAGATAGAAGTAATACTAATAATTATTAAGCAATTCTATCAAAATAGTTAACCAATATATTGTATACTTACAAATGGTTAAAATGAGGACTATGTATCTTTTACCACAATTAAAAAATAACTTGTTTTGTTTTTTGAGACAAAGAGTTATATAGATCAGACTAATTTTGAATTTTCTCTAATGTTCAGGAAAAAAAACAAAGCAAAACTCATTTCTGAGCTCTAGCTATTTGTTCCTACAATAACCACAGACATTTTGGACAGAGAGGAAAATAGACAAGTGATAACATTTTCCAGGACATCCAAGGATATAAGTTGACTGGCTCTGGTCCTGGACTCTGCTTAGCCAGAGCGCTCTAGAGAGACGGGCAGGTAGGATGGGTCAGTGTGTGAAGGCCCTCAGTGAGCAAATCTGAGAAAGTTAGATCTCAGCTCACTCACAGGATAAAACTGACCCTTCAAATGCAGTGTGGTGTGCACACCCCCACCCCCACCCCCACACTTAAAAAAGAGAGATGGATCCACACTCTTCTATCAACCTGGTCATTTTTTTAAGCTACTCACTTAAGGAGATTTAATTCATGTACACTGTGCACAGAAATTGACATGTCTCTTAGAGATGCTTGTGATTACAGAAGACAGCATGATCACAGGTAATTTAGTTCTAGTGCAAAGATTTAATAATCTGTTCACAACACACTGAGAATAGGTATGACTATGTAGTCCAGATTGGCCTCAAACTCCAATCAATCCTCCTGCCTCAGCCTTCCAAGTGCTAGAATTACAGAATGTGGTACCAGTCTTGCCATCAATGAATCTTAATTTTGTACTTAATATTTCAGGGCTTAGCAATCAATATAAGGGACCGATGCCAAAATAGGCAGCAGAATTGAAACCAGCAGAGAATGTCAGGTTCCCTGGAACTGGAGCTACAAATGTTTATGGAGTTACAAATGTTTGTGAGCTGCCATGTGGTTGCTGGGAACTAAACCCAGGTTCAGTGTAGGAAAACTAAAAGATAGCTTTAACCACTTAGCTATCTTTTAGTAGAAGTGGCAACTCTGACCTCTAGGAAGATAGGCTAGGCAGGGTGACTCCCTGCAGGTGTGTCAAGAAGGCTGCATTCTTAGTGCCCTGTAGTGAAGTCATAAGGAACATCACTGAGCCTGCAGGTTTCAGCATAAAACAGACAGAAGAAACTGGGAGCAAAATGAGAGCCAGTATGAACTGAACCTCACATGTGTGAACAAGAGTGTTAGCAGCCCGCTCCATCCTAGCTTCCATGTGTTATCTTCTCTTGAACCCCCTGGTATTTTGCTTATATATTATAGTTTTATCATGTTTCCCAAAGAAGATTTTTCTTGACTCCTTGAGGCAATGTCTGTCTCTGACATATCTAATATGTCTAACAAAGGTACACATAGGAACACAGTAAAAGAATGTATGACTGACCTGGTTAAACTATACACTCCTTTTCTCATAGTATTTGTATACATGATTTACTTTTATAGTTAAAAAAATATATAAGGGGATGGTAACATGGCTCAGGGGGTAAAGGTGCTTGCTATTACATTTCACAACTTAAGCTGGGATTCCAGGACCTATATGATGGGAGAAGAGAACAAACAAGTTGTCCTTTGACCCTTCCTCCTACCATTCCCACAACCAAATATTATAATAATAATAATAATAATAATAATAATAATAATAACGATGTCCTCAAATGGGGCTGGAAAGATGGCTAAATGGTTAGAGCATTTATTTCTCTTGCATTGAACCTGAGTTTAGTTCCCGGCACCATATACCAGCTCATAAACATTTGTAACTCCGGTTCCAGGGAAGCTGGCACTCTTCTGGCTTCAACAGGCACAGGCATACATGAACACATGGATGCAAAACACCCAGATACATAAAAAAATTAGTTTTTAAAAAGTACATTAAAAGTCTTCTCCAGGAAAAGTGGTATTTCTCTAATAAAAATTGTCTTTTTGATGATTGCAAAAATGGTAACAGCTTTTCATTTTCTCAGTGAGGCCTGGCTAGGCCAGGGTACGTCATCAGCAAACACTGTGAATACATCTCACACATGGCCAGTAACCTACAAAAGGGAGCTCTCCCAGGCTGCTCCTCCCTCAGAAAGCGAGGAGCCCCTGTTCTAAGCTTTGCATAGGCTCTCTATGGAGGGCTCGTTACTTCGCATTTCTACGGTCTCAGCGATCTCAATCACTTTGGCGTGTCAGCTCCTTCCATTTCCCCATTCCACCTACTCCTTCAGAATTCTGAAGTGAATGAGGAATGGAGCCATCGGCATACTCTCACGGCCTGTAGGTGCAGATGTGGCCTTTGCACAGCTGTGGGTGTCTATCCTGAGATGAGGTAATCATTTTTGGCTCTCCCTGGACTGTCCACAGTGGCTCTGTTCATGGAGAATTTTTAGTTAATAGTGACACTGGCTGCCTAATCACTAGGAAATCCCCATGGCATGGACTATAGCCTTTATACTAATGGTCTAATCTGCTGAAGCCAGAGGCCTAGGGCCGTTGGTGGATAATAAAAAGATATCATAAATTGCCAAAGAACAGCCAGTCTCTAGTTTTTTCATTTTCTTGCAGTTACTGCTAATTTCAGAATACATCTTGGTCATCCGAGAATGTTAGAGAGTAATGTGAGTGAAGATCATGTCCAGAAAAGAGGGGGACACCAGTGAAACAACATTGCCCAGGACCACCAGAATGGTCTTACATGCTGAACCTTTTAACAGTAGTCCACCTACACAATACTTTTTGGGGATAGGGTGGGGAGGTGACAGGATTTCTCTGCACAGCCCTGGCTGTCATGGAACTCAGAGCTCCACCTGGGATTAAAGGCATGTGCCACCAGCCCCACAGGACCACTATTACTGACACTCTGCCACTGACCTCCTTGCCCTGCCTCCCAGCCCCTGCCTAGCAATCTCTGGTTCTCTTCTAGCCCACGGCAGGCCTGGCACCGTCTCCCCAGCCCATCAGTCACCTTTCATCCCACCAGAGAAGCCTCTCCAGTTGGCAAAGACCATTAGAGGTAGCCCTTCACGATTAAAGTCCTTGATAGCTTGATAGGTCTTAAATGCAGAGTCTGGGAACCAAACCTGGCCGGCTTGCTGGATTATCTGTTGGGGAAAGTAAAGGAGGAGTCAACACAGTTTGAAGGAGAACCTTCTTTAACTGATCAAGGTATTATTTATTAAGAATAGTCAACTCAAGATCAAACCAGATCAATTAGAACTGTTGTTCATCATGAGGATGACCCCTGAGGTAAGAAAGAAAAGATCCTGGATCTTTGATCTTGTTGAACACTCTTTCCTAGGGAGCCTGACCATATATCAACCCTTAGAGAAATAACTGAATTGCTTCTCTCAAGCAGTCGTAGGGACCCTTTTAAAAGGCAACTCAATTACGTTACTATCTTTTTCTTTCTTTTCTTTGTGTATGTATGTTCATGTGGGTGAACATGTGTGTATCTATGTGTACATGCATGAGAAGGCCAGGGATCGACACTGGATATCATCTACTTTGCTTTTTTGAGACAGGGTCTGTCTCTCACTGGCCTAGAGTTCCCTCCAGTAGGTGAGGCTGGCTGGTCAGCAAGCCCCAGGAACCCACCTGTCTTTGCCTCCCCAATGCTAGAATTACAAGCATGCGCCATCATATCTAATCTGTGGACTCTGGGAATCCAACCCCGGTCCTCATGCTTGCACGGCAATCACTTTCCTGATGGAGCTAGCTCCCCAGCCCTACTCGACTCTGCAAAGTGAGCAAGCTGTACAGCCTCCAAGTCCTTTCACCTCTCTGGCACTGTGACTAGCCAGTCACCTGACTCTTGGTGTGACTGCTGAGGAACCTCCTATCGTTCTCCTTCACCCACCCACCATTCTAGTTGGTGACAAAGAATGAAAGTAGAATCCATTTTTAAAAAGAAAAGGGCTGTAGCTTCCACAGCTGGCCCTCTATAAGACTATATTATCACGGGACTGGAGAGATGGCTCAGTGGTTAAGAGCACTGACTGCACTTCCAGAGGTCCTGAGTTCAAATCCCAGCAACCACATGGTGGCTCACAACCATCTGTAATGAGATCTGATGCCCTCTTCTGGTGTGTCTGAAGACAGATACAGTGTATTCATATATAATAAATAAATAAATCTTTAAAAAAAGATAAAAAAAAAGACTATATTATCACTCAAGGAATCTGGAACAGATGAGCACCAGTGCCAATTGCTTCTCTGTCAGACTTCCTGCCTAACTAAAGCAGACTGCTTTCTAGCATTACCAAGATGACGCCTAGTTAACTTTTCATATAAAACTTTGCTTGCAGTTATCTTGAAAGCATCTTGAAAGTGATCAGTGTTCTGCAATTATTTTAGGTGGCTGACGCCCTTCCCTCTAAAATCTGGTGGCTTGCAATACGCCCAATATATCTGTAGGCCCTGTAGAAGGGAGACAAACTCCAGGCACAAAGGTACTCCAAAAGCACGAGCACAACGATACTTGAGGTGACCAACCTTGGCTTCAGAGTCCAGGTTCGCAGGGTCAGCTGGGATACTGAGTTCCACAGTTCGGGTTTCTACAGCAACTACTCCCACGGGTATTCCCCCTAACCTGGGGAAAGGGAGAGCCACACAGGAACATAACACACATTAATATTACAATTAGGCTTTTATTTTTCAGTTGCACACAAACATTGAGAGAAAAACTAGAAGCAAACAGAGAGCAGAGGAGACTCTAATGCTTCTGGGGGTTAGAGTGAGACCTTTGGGGTTCATTCACTTTGTAAATACAATACAAAGTACTGGCACACTCCCTCGTATTTTAAGACACCCACCAGGTTAAATTCAAACTGAGAGCTGAATTAGGGGAGCTCAACAGCCTAGTGCACACAACTAGTTCTGTGATGTAATGAAACGTCTCAGTTTGCTATCAATCAGTTCTTGATAGTGGGGCACAGTCTGAAACTGCTGGCCTTACGAGATAGAGCCTTGGTAGTTAAGCAAGCCCTTGACTTTGCTTCAGTGGAAAACAACAATGAGACAGGAATATTTTTCAGTAATAATCTTGGTGGAATCTGTACCAGAAGCAGATACTTAATTTCAAAGCTATGTTAAGCTAGGATTCAGAAGCTTGAAGCTTCTGCGTGTATATTCTGTAATAATCTCCAATACTGGCCCTTCGTTTCCCAGAATGAATCAGAGATGAAGGGAAGAAGGAAGAGAAACCAAGGGGGAGATGTGAGATGCAGGATGAGTCTTTACTCCAGAAATGTGATTCCATATGTGCTCTGCCAGTTACTTTCCCCTGGGCTGGGACTGGGCTGGGTTATACTCATTCCCTACAACATGTCCATAACAAACTTTTCTATGAAGGATGGTCTTTAGCTGGTATATCAACTACTGGAAATGGATTCTTTTCCTCACAAGAGACCTAACTGGAGCTGAGTGGAGACCACCCACCACCCCCTTGTCACTTGCCTGCACTGAATCAGAATCAAAAGCCCTCTAGACAGCCAGACAACGAGCAGGAGGTACACAGGAGAGTTCAGAAATATTTCTGTTCACAATGATTAACACTCCAACTGGAAACTTGTAATTGCAAAAGCCACCCTAAATCGGTAACTTATAACTTATATATTAGGGCCCATGTGACCTAATAAAGAACATCTTTATCCGAGTATTACAGTTATTTATTGAAGTTGAAAACAGCTCAGAACAACTTCTGTTTTCTATTCTACTTCATATAAATTTTATCAGGCTAGCGCATGAAGATGCTACATCTTGTTTTATAGTGTGTCCCTGGACAAGGTGCCATGGAATAATAAAAGACAATTTACAGCCAATAGCACACATATTCCAAACATACATACCAAAGATGAGTTTTGGCAGCACTTACAGTAACAATCCCAGAAGAATACATTTATATTTATTTCTTGAAATGCCACTGCCTTTGAAAGAAGCTAGCTCCATTTGTTTTATATACTTCTGAGCATGTGGATGTGTTTGGAGCAAGAAGCCCAGAACTCATCAGATGGAAAGAAAGGAAGAAGGCAAAGCGAGAGTTGGAATAAACAAGAGCGGAGCTGCCCCAGGCCAGCCTGACTGGTGGTTGCAGGGTAACTGCTATTCTTCTGATCTTAAGGGTAAAGCACCACTGTCTCACACCCCATGGGAGCTGTAAAGACTTTAGTAGAATTTTGGCCTTGGAAGGCTTAAATACTTTTGCATATTTTATAAATAGGAAAGGTAAAACAGAATAAACAAAACCAAATTCAATATAATATGAGACCTCATGACTAACTGTATGCCCTACTTCCACTTCCTCAGCAGGAATCTTACCAACAGAAAATAATTCTCACATGGATGCTGTAGCTTTGGGTGAGGGAGTGACCTGACACTTGAAAGAAAATAAGCAGCTAGTTTCCTGTCTCAGGTGACTCCTATTCAGTGTCGCAGGGGAAGGCCCTGTCTGGTCTGTGGGATTCGCCAGCCATCTGATGGTTCCTTGTCACCGGCAGCATGAGGCATACTGACCTGATGTACTGAGAGAACCACAAAGCCTAGAATTATTTTCAAGGCTAGCATCTAAATCTGAAGCCAATGTGGCCTGTTGGAGAATCTTGAGCAGGTGCCTCTTTTCACCAAGATAAGAAAAACTGATTGCCCCCTGGAGGAAGGTGAGCCCCTGATGCAGATCTCGCAGGCAGCATGTCTGGAGCACAGACCTAGATTAAGATCAGCCTTGGCAGGTGCTCGTTATAGCAAGCAGGACAGATTATTTTGCACAGAGCTTGCTGTCGAGTGAAGCACTTCTTAGAGTGGTATTAAAATTTAATAGAAACTTCAATTTCCCACTTGAAAAATATGTGTATCCCAGCAACCTATGCCAGCTTACTTTATTCACTACTGCTTCAGATTAAAATTTTTTTTCAATTCAAATCTGATTCTATTCCAATACAGTACAGTATTATAAGTCATTTCAGTAGTCATGATGTCAAAAAACAAAACAAAACAAAACAAAACAAAACAAAACAAAACAAAACAA